AAAAAGTTGCCCAAAATTGGACTTTCCGAATGGACCACCTAAGACGCAGCCGCGGTCAACATTTAAATGAAATTATCTTCAAAAAGTAAATGTCATGGACCAATCTAACGTTTCAAATAAAGAACCGATGAGATTTTGCAAATTTTATGCGTTTTGTTTAAAAAAAAAATTATCAAGCTCTTAAAAAATCACCCGTTATTTTGGTTTATTTAACATGAATTTCAAAGGCAAATTAAAAAAAAAAATACATACATTGTAATTTTGGGATCTTCTTCTTCTGTTTTGACGCTTTAATCGCCTAAGCGGGCCGAGTCCAAAAAAAATAATTCCATTTCCATTAGCCAGTACTTGGTTGACATGTTCAGCAACCTCTTCATCCGTGATAGCATTGAGGTTCATATCGCCCACCATCGCGTTGGTTTCCTCAATATCAGCCTCTGCAATCGGTTTATTGGAGCCCAATATTTTTAATTTTTCCGTGCTCACCCCGAAGAGCAGTTTGTTGTCCATTTTCCTTAATGACTCAATACATTCTCTGTTAATTTTCATAAGGTACGAAGTGCTCTGTGGTCCTCTTAGGGTTTTTCTGCACGAATAACTACCCCGTCAGTCATTTGTATCTCAGGATTTTGCCGTTGCAGAAAACTAATCCACAGCCAAATGTGGGCCCAGGATTTCCTATATACCTCATCGGCCGGGATTAGATTGACCTCCAAACCCTCCCAGGCATTGCCGAGCTCAACTACGCACTTGCCGAGCTATTCCCTACATAACTCATATTTACATTTGAAAATCGGCAACCCCTCAGGGACTCACTGTGCCTTCGTTGACAAGCGCAACCCTGATCCCTGGCCAGCTTACAGTACCCTCGCTCCACCCACGTTTCTTCTTGCTGGCAGTGCTTTTTGTGCCCGCCCTTTTTCCAGCTGGTCCTGCTGTGGACTCTTCCTTAGGTCTACTTCGTTTAACGGCCTGAGGTTTCTTTGTATCTCCAGGAGCACGTCCTCTTCTGCGATCAGAATGTTTTCCGATACATCTCTTCTTTTTTTTTGGTGTTTAGTCATTTTATTGTTGTTCTCACGAATAGTGGGTAAGGCACTTATAAAAAAAAAAACGACCTTGCCCAATTATCGGGGGGGACCGTAAGCCACCAGTTCTTTAAACACTGGCCATTCTTCTATCGGCACGTGTTCCTCTACGCCACTGGCTTAGAGAGCTTTGAAGAGAAGGGGAAGGAATAGAGTAGTCGGAATATATAGGTAGGATTTTAGGCCAGGAAAAAGAAATTGGTTGGATTCGGGACGTCGGTGCGGGCGCCTGTGCCATGGGAGCTGCAGCCTACGGCCGCTACACGAACTTCGGATGAGCAACCGTAGACTCCAGACCTATACCCAAAACCCCTCTTAGTTTATGGTGCTGTGTCCGGCACACTATTATGACTGACATAGCACCACTTAAGCCTCATTCCCAGCGACAAGGAGACCGACTTGATGAGGAGATAGTTTAATAAATCACTGATCACCTCTTCATTCAAACTTGGAAAAAAATACGTCCGCACAGGCTCCCGAGTTTTAGTTTTAGGGTTTGGACTTCATTTCTCTGCACAGTGGGACGACGATGTTGTCACACAAAGGGGAGGACCTACAGTTATAACGGCAAATGGTTATACTGAGAAGCATTTTCCATAGACTCGGGCCAAGTATCCGATCCTGGAATTGTCGAGTTGTAGGGCTTACTTATAGCCACTTAACTATGACAGTCGTTAGCTATCGTTAGCAAAAATGTTACTTTAATTTTAACTATTCTTTGCTAAAACAGCCTTTATGAAGAAAATAACTCATAAAACCATAAAAAAATATATAACCCTTAGAGATTTCAAACTTGAATCCATACTCTCCTTGGTAGCCTTTCCTTTGTATACATATTTTATCCCTTAAGCTAATATCTACTTTCTAAAAAAACAACAGTGTTGTCAGTGTGACACACTGAAAAATAACTAAACATCTAAAAACGAACAGCATATTTTTAAATTTATCATAAGCACATGTGCCAAATTAAATTAACAAAGCTGCTAAGTACGTAAAAGATAAAGTGGTTAAAGAAAAATGTGTTAAATAGAGAGGCAGCTACGCAAGAAAATAACAAGTTAGAAGCTAAAGTGAAATTATGTAAAAAAAAAACATTAAATTGGCAAAGGAGGCTCTATGAAGAAAATATGTGTAAACATAACAGAAGCTATATATCAAAGCAAAGAGTGCATTGAATATCTGTTAGTGTTTTAATTACTGCCACAGTTATAAGGAAGAAAAATTAACAAAAAATTATGCAATAAAGGTATTCACAAAACTGATGTGATAAAGAAGAATTTCAAAAAACTGTTTATAAATACAAAAATTTGGTAAGGGTATTCATGGAATGGCGCCTTTATCACTTTTCATTATGAATAATTTCGCTTATCGGTATTAGCAGTCTTTACAGTGGCTCTCACAAATTCGCTACAAAAATGTGTTCTTACATTTTATGGCATAGTTCACTTTAACTGAAATGACAATTTTCCTCAGAAATTAATGTCAAAACTAAAAGTTCTATGAATACCCTTTTTATTTTTTTAATAAAAAAAACACATCCAATTGTTAATTTAGAAGGCCAAAGTATGTCAAAATACTATTTCCAGTAACTTTTTATAAAAAAAAACGCCCCTCCTATTGTAGGTTTTAGATTTTAAGCTCTCCCGAAAGTATTTATTTTTAAGCTAAATAAATAGTACACGTACTTTCACTGTCCAAAATACGCGCTTAGCGTCACTTATTTCATATGCTTTCTACACACATTAAGTAAATAGTCTTACAATTAGTTTTTTTTATATAAATACTCTAAGTTTGCAGATCTAATTATAAAATATATTTTATATATATATATATATATATATATATATATATATGTATCATTGTAAGTGTGTAACTATTTTTCATTACTTACATAAATATTTAATTGTTAAATGAATACTTGCCATTACTGTGTATAATGAAATAATTGCCAAGTATTTCCTTTTTTTTTCACTAAGCATACCTAAAAAAGAAATAAGCGTAAATATTCATATTCATAAGTAATCAGCACGAAATTAGATGTTAAAATAATAATAACAATAAGGCGAAAAACAAAACAGAAAAAAATTAGAAAAATCTTATAGCGAATATTAGTTAAGTGTTGTATGTATGTATGTATGTATGTAGTATATAGTATATGATCGTCAATACTCGAAAGTTTAAGCAAGTACGCGTAGTGTACTTAACTGCCAATAATGCATGTGATTTAATTACTTTCAACGGTGTCGGTAATGTATTGAGTGTGTAAATAAAAATCATTGTACTATATAGTACATAAATTTTAATATGCGCACAGAAAAGCAAAGTTTTTTGGTTAACAAGTAAATTTTTCGGATGAAATTTTTTACTTTTTTTATTTTATGATTATTTGATTCCACTAAATTTCTTTATTTTATTTTTAATGTTCTTTAATTTTGAATCTTTTCATAACTTTATATTTTTTTAATACAAATTTTTTTATTCCCTTTTTCCTTTGGCATGTTTCGTTATTTTTTTGTTCAACTTTTAGTGACTTTATTTTACTTTATGTAATTTTATTTCATTAAATTTTTTTTAAGTATATTTTTTAAGACTTCTTTCATTTTTTTCATATATGTGTTTTAATTTTATAATATGAATTTTATTGTTAATAAACTTATATACTCACACATACATATCTCACTTTAATTTTTATTTTTATTTGTTTATTGCAATTGTTTTATTTAAAGAGTTTTTTAATAAATTTTTTAAGATATTTATATTTTGTAATTGAAATCATTTGATTTTACTTTTCTGTTATTTTATTTTAAGTTTATTTTTCTTAGTTTTTAATTTTTTCATATTTTGTTTTATGCCATTTTACCTTTAGTTCTTTCGTTATTTTTTTGTTTAACTTTTTTGCGATTTTATTTTATTTTAAATACTTTATTTAATGTTATTTTGTTTTATTTTGTCAGTCTAATTTTCATTTTTTCATTTATGTATTTATATATTTTATTGTTAATAAATTTTTATATACGTACCTACATATCTCATTTTATTTTAATTTATTTTTTATTACTTATTTTTTAATTATTTTATTATAAGAGTTCTTTATTTAATTTTTTAAAATATTTCTTAACTTATATTATATCTTATACATCTTATTTTTATTTTTAGTTATTTGGTTTTACTTTCCTTTTATTGTATTTTGAGTTTACTTTAATTTTCTATTACCTTTTTGAATTTTTTTTTATTTATTTCGTGTTCATTTTACTATTAATTTTTATGTATCTTATTTTATATTAATTTATTTAATTTTTGTTTTGTTAATTTAAGTTTTTCTTTTTTAGTTTGTTTTTTCAATTATTTAAGCCTTTTTAATTTATTTTTAAACTTTTAAAATTTTTGTTTCCCAGTTTGTTTATTTTGTTTTATTTTTTAACTATGAGCTATTACTTAATTTCTAATTTTTTTAAATAACTTTTTTATGTATTTACATTACTTATTTGTTCAACTTCTTTGTAATTTAGTTCTACATTATTTTATTTATTTTCCGTTTTATTTAATTTCATTCAATTTTATGTATTTAAGACTTTCTGCTTAAAACTTTTATTAATTTTGTAATCATATACGTACATTTTTTATTTGGTTGTAATATATAGATATCATTTTATTTTAACCCATTTTATCTTTTTTTATTGCTTATTTTTTTAAGTTTGGTTTAATTTTTTTTTATCTTAAGTATTTTTTATTTATTATTAGTTTTTATATATCCTATTTTATTTTCCTTTTTATTGCCTATTTTTTTAACTCACATATTTTTAGTTTTGTATTTAATTAAATTTTTCAATAATTTTATTTAAATTTCTCTATTTTTTTTTTGTTATTTAATTTGTTTTTAAATTGATTTGGTTTAATTTTTTTTATATTAATTTTTATATATTTTATTTTATTATTGGAAATTTTTTATTTAAAGCTTTTTCATTGTTCGGCTTTATTACAATTTATTTTTTAACATTTCAATATATGTATTTTTTTCAGTTTATTTTTATTTTCTTCGTTTTTTATTTTTATTTTCATTTTTTAACTGTTACAGTTCATTTCTTCATATAATTGTTTTGGTTTCTGTTTCTACCTTTTTTATTTTTTATCTCCCATTTTTATAAAATTTTTGTATATGTTATATATTACTTAGACTTTTTTTTAATATTTTTTCTTTCTTCTTTTAATTTAATTTGGTTTGTTTGTTAACCATTTTTAATTTTTAATTTATTTTATTTAATGAATAACATCCTTTTCTTGTGTTTTTTTTTTCATTATAATTGTTTATTATTTTAGTATATGTTATACTTTGCATAACTTTTTTAATTTATTATTTATTTTTTTTAATTAAATTCAGTTTTTTCAATTTCATTTTAATTTATTTTATTTTGTTTTTGTTTT